GTAATGAAAGTCCTAAAGTCGAGCGGGCCGACTTTATGATACCCTACACCACCTTGCGAATAACAATTAAAAGTTTTTATGGGAGAATTCAATCATACACGCTATGATTATATTTATAATTTAAAGTTCAAAGGACTAAATATGCCACCACTTTGCTAATTTAGTAGAGCTCCGCTTAACAATTAAAAGTTTTTATGGGAGAATTCAATCATACACCCTATGATTATAATTATAATTTAAAGTTCAAAGGACTAAATATGCCGAGCATTTGTATATTTTAAATTCGGATTTGTATTGCCCATTTAGTGCACAATTATTTTGAAATCGGATAAAAATGTATATGGGAGCTATATCTAAATCGGAACCGATCTCGATAAAATTTGGCAAAGATGTATTTGACATATTTCTCTAAATATCGTTGTTACGTAGTGCATATTACGGCTGTGGTTAACAAATATGACAAATCGGATGAACAGTATATATAGGAGCTATAGCTATATCTGAACCGATCTTCACCAAATTTGACATACTAGCTTCTAGACTCAATTCCCGTCGAAAGTACAAAATTTCATCCAAATCCAAATTTGGACAAATATTAGACGTTTGGTGCACAATCAAAGGTAAATCGGACGAAGTTATGTATGGAAGCTATATCCATATCTGAACCGATCTCGATACAATTTAGCATATGTATTTCTGAGCTGTATTTGATATATTTCCCCGAATATTGTTGTTACAGAGTGCATATTACGGCTGCGGAGGACAAAACAGTAACTATGTTACAAGCAGAAACACAAACACACAATACCCTTACCACTGTGCGCTGTAGGGTAAAAAAATAAACGTACAAATGTCACACCTTTTAAAATGTCATTTGACATATGTACGAAGTACAAAGCCATATTTTGAGGTAGTAGACATTATATAAGAAGGAAAAAATCATCCGTGTGGCAACTATTTGTTAATAACAACAATATTTAATAAAAACGAAGTTTGAAATTAAACAGCTATCTTTTTGGATGATCATCGGATAATATTTAGTTGGCGTAATGTACCACAACTTTTTCAGAAAAATACCAAAACTTAAATTCAACCGCAAATATTGTTGGGAAATCACATATACACGCATATAGTCAGAAATCAGAGATATAACAAAATACACTCACATTTTGAAACTTTGTTCAGCCTTCCCAAAATTATTCTAGTGAACGTAATTTTTTGTTAGAAAATATATGTTTCAAGTATAAGATAATTGCTCAAAAGAATGAGCGCAACAATCACTACATAAGACTTTAAAATTGGAAATTAATACAGTATTTATATGCATATTTATCGAAAATTAGAAAACGTTATATTTGCAAGATTTGTTAGTATTTAAAGGGTTTCAAGCCACAGAAACTTTACAACTAATTATGGTGTTATTGGGCACCGATATAGTTTGAGGGGAGTCTGTGGAACGTTCTATTTTTATTTAGGTAATGTCATACGAAATAACGAATGGTCAGTTTTTATTTTTATTTGAAAACGAAACGAAAGCAATCACTCAAAGTAGAGTTAAATGGGGGTTCCCTGAATTCAGAATCTTCTAAACAATATTTTACTGAATTGATTTTTTTTTGCAGAACTGATAATTCATAGAATGAATGAGTGCAGTCTCAAAAACGATGTTCTGACATTCCATCCTCTACGATCTATGGCAATCAAATTTCTGAAAATGTAATGAGGAAATAGTAAATTTATTTATTATTTATTTATTATTATTTAAGAAATTTATTTACAAGCTCTTCTTCCACTCAAACCAAAACTTCAAAGGCCTTCAGTATTAAAAATGATACTATGTCCTTAATTTGGGACACTTAACTTTGACGGATAATAATGTTCAGAATGCTATAAATAAAATTAAAAAAGTCCAATGAATACTGATGCTGATGGTTTATGCACATTTTAATAAAGAGTTGCTCACAATCTCAGAATCAGAAATTGGCGAAATACCACACAAGTTGCTATTTGGTAAAACATTTCGTGAACGGTGCTCTTCTTATCTTGCCAAAGCAGTTAGTATTATCCGTATTAATAAGTACAGGGTGAGATAAAATAACTGCAACAAATGGAATGGAATCAAAAAATGTCGGAAATAGCATCAACTTTTAGAATAAGTTTAGATTTGTTCGAATTGGTCATCTTTGGCACGAATTATGGCCTTCAAATGAAAAATGAAACCGTCAAACGTTGCCCGAATTTTGCTCTGCGGTGTTTTGGCCCATTCTCGGCGAAGCGCGTTCTGAGTTCGATGGTGCTGAGTCCTGTTGGAATGTCCAAGGTCTGCGGCCAAAATGAATATTTTCACTATGCCAAAGTCGATTTATACGAGCGGAGAGCGATCATCGGCTGTTATGGCGGCCCAAATGGTCACCATGGCCGGCTCTTGAGTTCTGGTGGCCAACCGAAGGTGCACATTTTCAGCTGACCTCTTTGGGAAGTAAACAAGATCATTTTTTTTGTTTACAAACTGCTGGACAACGAATGTTCACCACTTTCGGCCAAGCGAAGCAACTCTTCAGCTCTTTTTAGTCTATTTTCTTCCTGTTGCGGTGTAAGTTCTTGCACTTTGTGGAATTTCAATGGTTTTACCCGGAGCTTATTTTTCAATATTTTCCAAATGGAATATGGCGATATGTGCAGATAACGAGCCATTTTTCGGCCACTGCGACGCAGGCTTCGGTCAAGTCGCTTCCTTGCTTTTCGAACCAATTCTGGCTACGGGCTACGCTACTGATACGAGACACAAAAGATTTATTCACGTTTAAATGCTGGAGTGGCTTTCCAGCCAAATATAAAGAAATCACACTATTACGGTTGAATTCCATCAGAAATAATTTTTTTTCTGGAAAATTCTCACGAAAATGCTTTTGTACGCTTCTAAACAATATAATGAGCTGTCACTGGAATAATTTTAACAGCTGTCGGACGAGTGGCTTAGCAATGAAAGCAGTCTGCAGTTGGTTGCAGTTTTTTGATCTCACCCTGTATGTATCGTTTCCTCATGTTCAGACCTCGTATGTTCACATAGTAGTATTTTGGGATCATTATTTTTAATCTGCCCATAAATGATACTTTTGTTTGTTTCAAACATTTAGAATTTTTATTCTATGCCGATGATTTTTCTAATATGTAATTTATTCAAGATGACCTTGATTGTTTAAATGATTGGTGTTCTATAAATGGTCTAAACGTTAACCTCAGTAAGTGTTACGATATAACGCGTACAATGTAACGGAATCGGTTTTTTTTGTATTTGGGAAACTCAAATCCAAAAAGTTGAAAGAACCTATGGACTTAGGTATTTTACTTGATTCTAAGTTTATTTTTAAACCTAAGTTTGATCAATTAGTTCCAAAGGTTTCTCGTCGCTTGCAATTATTAAGACCAATGCCAAAGATTGTTCTAACTCATATACTGTAAAGTCGTTATACTCGTCGTTTAAGATTACTGCTCTTAGATCTGGCACCCCAATACTCAGAATCAAATGACAAGAGTTGAGTAAATACTGCAACTTTTTTCCATTTTACCATTTTGTTTGGGTTTTCTTAAATAAAAAATTTAATTTGAAATACGTATGTTAAATATAGACAGAAAATAAAATAGGTAGGTGATTGAGGTTCGTTTTTGTTTACTTTTGTATAAAAGTGGAGGACGTTACAGAGTCCTTACTAGAAAAATCCGAAGAAATTTGATAATTCCATCTATTTCTTTGACCGGGGCCAGTTTAACAAGTTCTTCTTCTTCTTATAACCTTAAACATATTCTGAAAATTGAAGTAACATTTCAATTTTTGTATGAAAAACTGGCTAACAAATCTTTTCGGGATTGCCAAACAAAAACTGTCTGTGCACGATATAAGCGGTTCTCGATGAATGTACCGGATGTTAAGAATATTGAATTTCAAAATAAAATATTCAGTTCCTTGAAGGCATACTGCACTTATATTGAAAGTGGTACAAAAAAACAGATTACCATTAAATGACAAAGAATAGCAGAATAGAATAGCATTTTATGGCAAATTAATGAAAATTATCGGCTAGCAATCACTTTGTGATTTTGTGAAAGTGACAAATTTGATCATTAATATGTACATTTCTTTATTATTTTGTGTAAAATATTAATGAATTCATTTATCACTGAAACCTCATCGACCTCAAATGCTATTAGTTATCGATATTATTATATTTATCTGAATTCATAGTTAATTTGTTTAACAATTAAACTGTAAATGCACAACGATATATTTATTTGAACACATACTTACACACACTTATATCTTTATTATATGTAGCACACACACACATATATATAAAGCGGCACATTCACACATACATCCACATGTATCATAAATCTTGACAGAAATCAAGTCATACAACAAACACACACGCAATGTTGAATATTAAATCAGTTTTAATTAACTAAAGGCTTTTACGAGAAGGCATACATACACACATGCATATGCTTTTGTTATTTACACATACATACATCTATTTGCTTTAATCGTATGTGTCACATTTTTCCATATACACTTTGTTCCCAAAACAAAACTAGTGTCGAAATGGTCATAACGAACAGTAAATAATAAATGGTGTTAGTCATTTCGTTATAGCCATCTTCGTTCATACAGGACAACACAAAAACACACCATTCAACTGAATAATATGTATCCCCCCCTCGCCCCTCGTGATTTAACTCTCTCACTCTATTTCAACAACCCTCCCCCCCAACACACGAAAGTTCATTGTCCTTAAACCCACCTACGTCAATGTGACAATACTTTTATCTCCTCCCAATCAAATTCGTTTTATTGACTTCTAATAAATGTATGTAATTATGTTATTAATCAATTTCTTTGTGTATTTCTTTTTGTTGCTGTTATTGGGATAACTTTTAATTCAATTGGGTACATGGTGTGTGTACAACACAAACGAACGCGGACCTCACCGAAAATGTAACAGGTGTAACAACAATGCTGAATTTCTTCACAACATCAAACGGTTTCCGCAGCACCCTTCCGGTCGTTTCGAACCTCACCGCCATGAATGTCTGGGATGGTGTCTGTATGTGTTTCATTTACGCCTCGCTTCTGGAGTTTGTTTGCGTCAATTACATGGGACGTAAACGGCCACAGCACAATGTGGTCTATCGACCTGGAGAGAATCCGGTAACACAGGTAATGTATAGAATTGTGGAAAAATTTGTAAACACCACAACATTAACTAGGCATAAGCGCACCAGTGATATTCCGCATACAAACAGGCTTTTAGATATATCACTAACAAACCCTGCAGCCATTCGAAGAATTTAACCATTTCGAACTAAGGGCATGTCAAAAGTATAATAAAGAAGATCTCCCCAACATCACATTTAACAATTCATGAAACAATAAACTCAGTCAATCAGATTATTTTACTCTATCTCTCCTTCTCTCTCTGTCTCTGCCTCTAAATCAATACTATCAATCAGTCGAGTTTCCCAACTTTTTTACTAAATGCATTTCTATTTTTAACTTTTTGTTTGAAATAATTATTTTAATTTAATTTTATTTTTGAAAGATCACAACTATTTATTCACGCTCTGTCTCCCTGTCTTGATTTCGATCTATTTCTATATATCTCTGGGAATATATTACCTTACTATGCAAATCGTGAATCATATACATTATAATATATCATTGAATTTGTTTTTATATAAATATTTTTCGTTTGTTTCTGTTACAACAATTAATCTTATTTTTTCCCTATTTAGCATTTTGTATTTAAATATTTTTGTGAAACAAATTGATAATTTATGTGTGTAATCATTTCTCTACTCAAACCAATCGATATCAGTGTATTCATACTTACATTGCCACACTTTATGTTTTAGTTTTATTTTATGATTTATTTTCCTTTTCAAAATTAAAAAAGAAATTCAAATGCATTTAATTGAAATTCACGATATGTTCTTTTCATAAGCATTTTATTTTCTTGGTATGCGTGTGATAATTTTTTCTTCTATCCTTTGTGTCCTGCAACAAAATAATACATACATTATTATTGATTGTTTTGCATCACTTTAATTAAACAAAATTAAATGAAAGTCAATAATAAAAGAGAAATGTTAAACCATTCCAAAAGAAATATTTATTTAACTTTAAATTCAATTTCAAATCCATAAAATGCCTTAAGTTTCCGAAACTGTGTTAATGTGTGTGTATCTAACTAACCCCTTTAGTTTCCTATCCCATTTGTATTTTTTACAATAAATGCCATAAATATTACGAAAATTCCTAATTTATTTAAATATATTTTTTATAGAAAATAGTTCAGTTAATAAATATGACATAGGTGAATTTGAAATAGAGGGAATATATACATTCTCTCTCTCTCTTGTTATACATAGGAATCTAGATTTATTGTATATATGTTGTTGCAATTACTATACAAATGTAGGTTCTTCTAGATAATTTCTTATAAACAGTTTGCAGTTGAAATGTGTGTTGAGAAATGTTTATGTATGTGTATGTATATAAAATTTAATTTTATTCGTATTTTTTTCGAGATATTTTAGAAATGTTCCTTTCATAAATAAATTAGAAACGAAATGACAAATATAACTTACCGTCGTTATCCAGGATTCCAAGATATTTAATAAAATACATTCATTAGAAATTTTTCGAGTCAATTATTATTATGTTGTAAATATATCAAAGAGATATATTTGAAATTTAAATAAACTTGACATTTTAATTAAATAACTTGGGAATGAGTTTCAAAACTAAATTTTTTGAAATAATGCTTCGATTATAACTTTAAAATGTTAATATTTAATTGGAAGTTTCCATCTGGCTAGAGACATGATTATGGTCCAATTTTAAATGGAATAATTAAGAATGCTAATTCGTATAATAAGAATTAAAAATGAAATGTTTCAAATTATAAACCAAATAGGTGAACCCGGTGCGCTTCGCTACCCCTTTTGATTTTATATGCATTCAAAAATTTATATACGAATATTTTGTGGTTTAAAAATAAAATAATAAAACAAATTCAAGAATAACCAAACATTGGCCAAATATTACCATTAGCTTTTAGTCCACTACATATTTTGCTATCCTCTCCTAATGCAAGAGGTTCCACTGTATTGCCAAATTTAGATTAATCTTCTCTACGACAAAATAAGCATAAAAAGCCAGAAAATTCGCCTTTTGTGTATTTTGGATTTCGCCTGTAAGCTATTTTCAGCGTTTCGGTAGAATGGAAATGTTGGTATTTTTAACACAAAAGCTGTCCTAAACTCCAACTTCATGCTAGATTTCGTGTACTTTGGTTTCTATTTGTGACCTTTATAACGGCTGCAAAATCAGGAAAATTTTTAGTTGTTGGTCCATTTTAATCTCATAAATATATTGCGGACATCTTTAAAATCGAGAATCGGACGATAATGGCAATCTGTATATAATAACCCCAACCAGTGTTGTAAGCTAAAAAAATATTACAAAATATACACTTCAATATTATTAGTCAAATTGAAAAAATCGCATGCGATCAAAAATATGAAAAAATTAAACAATGTCACAATATACCACAAAATCTTAATCTTAAATTAACGCGGGCATTCTGAATTGACAAAATTTGTCAAAATAGATTCAGCCATTTTTGGGATACAAGCAATCTAAAAAACATCCCCTTCCTTTGTATATACACATTGTATATATTTCGCTATATATATCCAATATGCTTGACCTGTTCGTCTATTTGTGATTTCGTCGGGATTACAAATATTCGCGGTTTAGTGAAAAATTTGACTTTTATTTAACACAAATGTTATAGTCTATTTTACCCACTAAATATTACCCGATGACCATCCAAATTGGAAGGCATCTGCCCAGCCCTAAGATCTAGCCCGATGCTAACTTTCGCGTCGTTTGGTCTATAATTGCGACCTGTAGAGAAACTGCAAAATCAGGAAATTTTTTTGGTCCATTTCAACCCCTAAATATTGTGCGATCATCTCCAAAAGTAATAGGGTTCTATTCTTACCCTAACTCCAACTACAATTTCGTGAGAATCGGGCCATAATTGCGGCCTGTAGAGTGATTACAAATTAACATGGACAGACGGACAGACGGACATACATATATATCGACTCAGTTCGGCGAGATAGGAAGATCCATATAAACTTTCCTATGTGAGAAACCACATAGTGTTGTAGGGTATAAAAAACGTATTTATTGCAATAGTTTAATACGTAAACAAACAAATCTCTCGGTATATCAACGCGTGAACATGCCTGGCACAGCTGACTATGAGCAAAGTAGGAACATGACAAATTTAGTTCGCATACACGAAGAGTTTTTCCTTCGGATTTATTATTTTTGAGTGGGATTTCTGTTTCTATTACAGAATTCGAGATAGCAAAAAACTTCCCCAAAATAATAGTATCCTCAATTAAATTGTTCTGCAGTTTTTTACTGTTAGCCTAATACAATTGCAAAGGCGTTGTGGGACAAAATCATATCCCAATCTGAACAGACTTCAATATAATTTGATTCCGTCACAACTTTCATTAATACATAGCGTATTTGGTGGACCAAATATACGAAATTGGCCAAAAATATATACGGTGGTATATCCTAACCTTAACCGATCTCAATATAATTTGGAAAACTAATTTATATACCAAATTCCACCACACATTCCGAATTTTTGAAATCATACACATATATTGTGTTTGGTGCATCAAATATGTGAAATCGGCCGAAAATATATTTCATGGATATATCCAAATTTTTTTACTAAATTCAATCACTTATTCCAAACTTCATTGGAATCAGACATACATATCGTGTTTGGTGCATCAAACATGTGAAATTTTCCGAAAATATACATGAGAGCTATATCCAAATTTTAACCGATTTTAATATAATTTGTCAAATTTATTTTTTACCAAATTATGCCACACATTCTTAATTTCATTTGAATCGGATATACAGGATGAGATGAAAAAACTGCAACAAACTTCAGACTGCTGTCATTTATAAGCCACTCGTCCGACAGCTGTTAAACTTATTCCAGTGACAGCTCATTATATTGTTTACATGCGTACAAAGCATTTTGGTGAGAATTCTCCAGAAAATGGAATGGACCAAAGTACCGCAGAGCAACATTCGAGCAGCGTGTGAAGGTTTGGCCGTTTGAAGGTCATAATTCGTGCCAAAGATGACCAATTCGGACAAATCTAGACTTATTGTAAAATTTGATGCTATTTCCGACATTTTTTTCCTTTCATTCAATAAAATTTAAAAAAAAAAAAAAACAAAACTGTAAAAATTATGGCGTTTGGCTTTGATGCAGTTTTTATATCTCACCCTGTACATATCGTGTTTGGTGCATAAAATCGGCGGAAAAGATATATGGGAGCTATATTCAAATCTGAACCGATTTAAATATAATTTAACAAAATTATTTTTGCTCCGAATTCCGTTACGCACTCCGAATTTGAAGACTATGTCTGTAATCGATCTATAGATACGTCCATATGAAAACTAAATTATTTAGAGATGTCTCCGATACTTATGCTACATCTCCCATTCCAAGTCGAAGTTCAAAAATTGATATAGCCTATGTTACTTTCAGGCTATGCTGTAGTATATTTGAAAATTTTCAGGAATATCTGTTGAGCAGTTTTTGAGTTTTTAAGTTACAAACAAACAATAAAACGTACAAACATTTCCCTCTTTTATTTATTTATTTAAGGTCGATCAAATCAATTTATCTAACATGCATTTCATTGCAAACTTGTTTTAGCATAGAGAGATATCTGTATTTAGGTAACCGTTAGTACAAGTTTCTTCTTAACAATTGAATAAAATAGAATATAACAATTATAGTTATTAACATTGTTCCCAATTTCTGTGATTTATAAAAAAAAAACAATAACGACTAACAATGACAAATGAAACATGTTTGTGTTTTTTTTTTAACAAATCGAAAGTCATGAAACCAACTTATGTATGTCATATGTAAAGTCATTACGAAAAATAACAATAACAAAGGACATAAATCTACAGACCTCGGGCTTAAAAAAATCAAACTGTCATATGTTGTTTAATAAAGTATCGCTTATTGTAACAAATTGAATTTGCTTCAAACAAATTGACAATCGTACGGGTTTTTGTTTCATGTTTATTGTTATTGATAACAATCGGATAGCTCACAATAATTTTCAAAACATAGTACAACAGCAACAAGCAAAATGAAAGCAATGCTTGCAAACAAAAACAAAAAGAAACAAATCGATTATATTTTTACACAAATCTTAAAGTGTGTTTTAGTATCAACAAATATTTTATGTAAATTTTCCAGCGTCTTCCAGCGGTTCTAAGCAGGATTGGAGTCATTCTTGCAAGTCCTTTGGTAAGCTATCAACTCATGCACATTCTCTCTCTCTGTATTTTAAATTAAACCGAACTCAACCAAACGTGACGTAAATCACAAATTTGTCAAGAGCTGCTGGCAACAAATGAATTCGACTCGAAATCACCTCAATCCCAAATCTGTTACCTCTAACCACAATGACACAGATCATCCACCTTGACACCCCATCAGACATTGTCAAACCTTCACAGTCAACACCTCAGTCACCACATGATCTCTACTAACACCACAAACAAAACACACACACACCAATCAATCAGCTGAAGCTCAAAAATGCGATGATGATGCTGAATAAAAAGCTTAAACTTTCAAGTAAAACGATTCAATTTGATGTGCAAATTCATAGATTCTTCGCCCAAAACAAAAAATCGAATAGAAAATTAAAAGTGGCATGTGAATTTCGCTTGTATTGCAAGAAATGAGTTGTTTAATTTTCAGTTTCATTCTAGAATTTCATACATTTCCGTTTTCCGACTTCTATCGTAGACGCACGCTTTGATATATTCTTCTCCTTTTCTTTGGTTTAATTCCGTTTTTTTTAGTATTGAATATTTGTTCGGCTTTTTACAAATTATAATTTGATAAATTAATTAGTTTTTTTTTTTAATTTATTATTCCAAAAAAAACATATCTACCATCTACCCTTTTCATAATAAAAAAATAAATGTCAAAATATAAAAAAACACACTTTAAGGTCACTTATAATTGGGAAAAATGTTACGTGTGTATAAATTAACGTATTGTTCTCGTAACCCTACTGTAATCGTAACCATTGTGCAGTTTTTGTGTGTAAATATTACAAAAAAAAGAACAACATTCAAATCGTTAGCAAAATTATCACCAAGTCAAACCAACAAATGCTTAAAAGAAAACTATTATCTTAGGACTTATTTTAGAACGCTTAAATAGCCGTTATATTAGAAACGGAATAAAACGCACAACTCAACTGTAGAGACTCCCATGACGACAGCCAACAATGGGAAAGTGTATATAACTAAAACCCAAACGAAAAGTTAATAAATATTTGTATATGTATCTTCTAGTTACAACAACTACAACAACTGTTCATTATATGAAGTATATAAGATTTGTTACTGTTTTTTGTTTGTTTTATAATCTTTAGGTTGATTCACAGATTGATATTTAGTTAATTCATTTGGTTGCTGTAATTGGCTTTTTCCTCAGATTGTTGTTAATTTTTTCGTTGATCCATTATGATTTTGCGCAAACTCACTCTACACTTAACAAATTGAACATTCTATAACGTTGGTTCCTCTCCATTATCCAGTGTAACCTATAAAAGTGATAAAGTACAATTTCCGACACATCGAAGTAAATATTAATGGTCTATGTTCTAATCAACGAACGAAAACAAACGAAACAAATAAAATACTGCTCACACGTCAAGTCACAAACTTTAACAATATTTTCAATTGTTTTGTACTCCAAACAAAACAAAATCACAAACATTTCAATGCCAGAAATGCGAACGAATCGCCAGGAAACGTTTGCAAACGTTTGCTATGCGAAATGATGACTGTTATATTTAAAGTTGCCATTTCCATTGAATAACGGATATAATAAATTAATAAAAAAGCATAAGTTTATGTTAATATCAGTTTTATTTGTAATAAGTTAATACACAGGGAAGCATTTGCAAACATTTCCAATAAGTTTTGAACTGTTTCGTTTTCAGTGTTGCGTCACCTAGACGAGTACATTTCAGTTTTGTTTTTGTTTCAACTCATCTTCAAAAACAATACAGTTTGCAGTTTTCATTCTAATTGTTTAATTCTGTGTGGGTCCTAATGAGACCAGACGAAAATGCAGGCGTGGTAAGAACCGATAATGTGTGAGTTATCTTTAAAAGTTAAAACATCCGTTGTCTTTGTTATATTTGTCATTTGCATTTGGAGCGCATGCATTTGAATAGCCGAAAAACTTTGGCACCTACGAGATCAGTCTGGTCTTATCTATCCTAACTTAAAAAAACAAACAATCGTTACTGAAAATAAAAAAAACCAGTCAAAGTGTATTAAGAGGTCCATTGGAAACAACGGAACATTAGATATAAATCACTGTATATAAGCCTCTAAATATATTCACAAAAATATGTTTACTGAAAAAACTTCAATAGAATAGTACTTAATACTTATAGGTTGCATTTAAATATGAAACTGGTTCATTCAATTTGTTGTGAAAGCAAAAGATGTATAGGTTAAATTGAATTTGAAGCATTTGAGGAGCCACAATAGCGGCGAGAACATCATTTATTTTATTAAAAAAAAAAACAAAAAACTTTTAAGCGTGTGCCTACGAAGGGCTCACGGAGTAGAATAAGATTTACTCAGATAGTTCTCTCAGCAAAAAATTGCTCTCACAGTTTGCTCTTTATTTCTGGACTCTTGCGTAAAAACACAATTTTCAATAAAATTCTGTATCAATTGTTGGAAAACATATAACGGGGCTGCGACGAAAATCTTCTTGATAGTCAGGATTGCGATTGACTCTTCTTATGCATCTTAAGCTAAGATACCGTCGCACATTGGGGTAAGATCGGAGATTAATTTAGGGAAGCATTCATTCGCTTGGAAATGGGGTGAGATCCTCAAATACGGAGATTAATTTATGGAAGCATTAATTTGCCTTAAAAATTTTCTCTCACCCCTAGTATGTATGATATTAAAAATGGGACGACGTGGACCGACGTTTCGGTATGGACAATACGGGGTTAATTCCAGAGTTTCAGTATTTTTAATGTTTTGACCACAATTTATTATTATTCGGCAGATATACCCAAAAATAGAGATAAATTCAAAGGAAGCATTTCGTTGCCCCATTCATTTCAATACTCATATTTTAATCAGTAAACAAGTTTCTTAGAAGGTATAATATTACTTAGAGCAGTTGGCCGGGCCGAACTTTGAATACCCTCCACCATTAGGAAAGAAACTGGAAATTCTCAAAAAATTAAATTTTTTGTCATATGCTGTGGTACCCATTAAGATCTTCCAATACGAAATTTGAAACGATTCCGGTGAATAATGTCGCTAAAATCATGACAATACCGAATATCGGGAGGTACCGTTATATGGGGGCTATACGAAGACATGGACCTGCATACGAAATTTTTTGCCATAACGAACTTCAAATACGAAATTTGAAATAATTCCGGTAAATAATGTCGCTAAAATCATGAAAATACCGAATATCGGGAGTTACAAACGGAATGACAAAGCTAATATACCCTCCATGATATGGTGGATTTACCTAGAAAAAATAAATAAATATGCTTTAGGAAACCTTCTTAAAGCTGAAGATATACTATGGAGGGTATATTAACTTTGTCATTCCGTTTGTAACACCTCAAAATACTCATGTCAGACCCAACAAAGTATATATATTCTTGATCAGCGTAAAATTCTATATCGATTTAGCGATGTCCGTCTGTCTGTTGTAATCACTCTATCTTTCGAACGAATTGCACCACATGTTTATTTTTTCAGTAGGCAGGTTAAGTTCGTAAATGGGCCATGTAGGTCCACGTTTTATTTTTTTACCTCTTTTTTACCTCCCAATATTCGGAATTTTGTTTCAAATTTAGTATTTGAAGTTCGAATTGGATACTACAGTCTAAGACATTGTCTGTGCAGATCCACGAAAAAAAATTGTCTGTGCAGATTCACGTCTTCGTATAGCCCCCATATAACGGTACCTCCCTATATTCGGTATTTTGATGATTTTAGCGTCTTTATTCACCAATTTTTTTTCAAATTACGCATTTAGAGTTCGTAATGGAAACAATTTGTGACAGAAAATTGTCTATGCAGGTCCAGGTCTTCGTTTAGGCTTCATATACCAGTACCTCCCTAAATTGTTCGAAATGTCGTATTTTAAGTTCGTAATGGATGCTACAGCCTCCCTATATTCGATATTTTGATGATTTTAGCTACATTATTCACCGTTTATTTCAAGTTCCGAATTTGAATTTGGTAATGACTTATGACAAAACAATGCCTGTGTGGGTCTACGTCGTATAGGCACCAATATAACGGCCATATTCGGTATTTTTAAATTTTTAACAAAATTTTTTCAGGATTTAATTTCCAAATTCGTTGCAAATGGTGGAGGGTATTCAAAGTTCGGCCCTTCCGAACTTACTGTTTTTAATTTGTTGTTTTTTTTCACTTAATCTCCGTTTTTTGTGATTTCACCCGCCTGTGCGTCGACACCATAACCTAATTTAATAGCATTTTATACTCATTTTCTTCAGACACTGTCTCTAGCTCCTCTTCCACCACACTATTCGCAAATTGTTCCTGTCTCTTCTCCTATCTTCGCTATTCTAGTTTTGCAGAATACGGTATTGGACTCCGAAAACGCCCCGCTTTTGACATTGCCAATACATGCTATAGAGAACGTGTCCTCCTTCTTATTATTTCCGAAGGCTTTCCATTTCTTCAAAAGGAGATTTCTGGAGGCCAGAAATGTCTGGAAGAGCACATGTTCTGAAATAGCTTTTTAGAAATTTTTAAAAATACAAAAAATAAGAGATGTGCATACCATTTTTAGGGTTTTAATTTTAATAAAACACCCAAACTGAACGCTCAAATCATCTGAGAGTCAACCTAATGCTCCTTGGCAAAAATAGTAAGCAGTATTTTTATATGATCTTAAGGATTCTAAAAGATTTGGTTAAGCTGATACTTTATATTGTAATGGTAGGCTTCTTTTTCTTCATAGTCTCCATCCTGCAAACCTTTTTAAACCTTGGAATATTTCAAATTTATATCGTAAAAAACGTCGTCATAGATACACGTTCAAGTGTAAAATTCGAACAAGCTGCGTTAACATCGTTAATATCCCATCCTAGAGATTCAGAGTAATATAATAAACAAACTTTCCACTTGAAGTTAAAGCAGGATGTGATTTTGTATGAAATTAATCTCAACACGAAAATGATCGCTGATTTATAAGATGAATAATATGCTGATAAAGACTACATTCATATGAACATTTCTAACGAAACCCACGCATCCAATACTAATAGCACCTTACGGATCCATTGCCCTGCAACAACTACTAACAAATCTAAACATGCTTCAACATACAGTATTCATTAGACAATTCTCTTCATTCTCCACTCAATCCACAACAATTCCACGAAAATTGTTTGATTTTGTATTTGCTGTACCAACCAACAAGTCTCTGTACCGCCATGCAGGAAATAATTGAACGTGAATTCAACGCGGCAATGTCGGAGAAAGCTGCTACTGGCCTTTCCAGTGCCGGTACAAGCTCAATGACCACACCACGGCCAGGCTCGCCACAAGTAGAGTCTTTACCGGGCACTGATTATCAACGACAACATTCGGGTGGAATAATTGCTTCGGCTGTTCAAAACTTAAGATCCAGATCGATCAAGCGTCGCAATGTCAAGAGTGACTCTGACTGGAAACAGCCTCAAGTGTCCGCCGAGCAGGCGGTCTATGTTTATGAACACATTTATAGTGAGCCGGGTGGTGTTACCACTTTCTCAGCTGTTCCCAGCATTCAGACCACTGCTGTTACCATTGAAACTGACATTACCGATGACGTTGTTGAAATGCCCAAGCTGCGACGCACGCAATCCATGTCCACCAATACACCACCCCTTCTGTACAAGGGAACGGACGCAGAGGACATTAGTGGACAAGAGCCAGCGCGGAAAGTGGAATTTGCACCAGAAACCAAACAACCACTCACAACCACCGAACCGGAATCCGTTCAACAGTTGGGAATGCCAATAAAACCTCCACGTCGTAAATCATCTCGTTCCACTTCCCCGTCCAGCCGAAATGAGGATCTATTGCAGGGACGAGCACAAGCACCAGCGTTCGCCTACAATGTAAGTTTAATAAGAAGAAGAATACTCCACAAATCCGTTTGTTTAGTGGCACGAGTCTCAGCTATGAATGCCAGTGAGAGGCTAGCTCGGGCAGCAACTGTTACTGCAGCATGTCACATCCTTGTTCCATTTTTCATTTCGTTCTTTGTTCTTTCTGTGATTACGGCGAAAACTAATGAAGATATCTCTAACTGTTTAATTGTTCTTCCAAGCACCAAAACACTAACGAGCCACTACTAACCTCCAATTTCCCACCCAATTTTGGCGTTTTGGAATATTTTAATTTCCGGCTTTCAAAGCTGCCGCTTAAACTAGCGGAACTAACAAATGTACCGAACATCCTTAATAAACAGAGCACCGCAAAAACAAACAAAAGACTGTTAAATATTAACGACAATGAACTGTAAATATATACGTATCAACACACAATTCGAGATATTCGTAGTACATCGACAATGACATGAATGTATGTGTGTGTATGCACCAATTTTGACACTCAACAAAAGTTTGAAGAGCTTTAAACAATTTAAAGAAACATCCGAAGCGAAATTGTTGCCAAACAAAAAGTGTAGAAGAAAATTTGTGACCACAACTTGCATCGCATCGGAGGTAGAGAGCGTAAGTATTATAAAGCGTTGTCCTGCATCGCTTGGCCTGCTGGTGTTGTCTGTTGTGTGCAGCACAAAGTTTTTAAAAAGGAGTGCAAACTATTTGTAAAGTCATTAAAAGAAAATAACCACCAAAAGCCACAACGAACAACAACGTTAGTCACCGCTTAAAAATAATCACCAAGAAATTCCAACTAATGCGAATTTTTTAAAATGCGGCCAAAGATGAAGGAAAAGAGGAAAGTTTATTTAAAACTTCTGATTACTGATAAAAGTCTGTATATTTTTGAGTTACATACCTTAGAAGTTCTGTTTATATTAAATTAAGAAAAAAATAAGCTGTAGACATTGGATTATCTAAATTAAATATTAAAATGATCTTTTTTGAAAAGAGAACATGCTAGGGTAAGGGAGTCTAAGTTCGGCATGCCCCGGTAGTCGGTACCATAGGTGGACCTGCAACGACAATTTTCTGACATAGGCTGTAGTATCCATTACGAACTTCAAATACCCAATTAGAAACAATTCCGGTAAATAATGTCGCTAAAATCATCAAAATACCGAATATCAAGGGGAACGGTTACGTGGGGGCTATACCTAGCCGATTTTCTATCTTAGGATGTACTATCCATTACGAACTTCAAATACCAAATTTGAAACAATTCCGGTAAATAATGTCGCTAAAATCATCAAAATACCGAATATCGGGTGGTACAGTTATATGGGGGCTAAACGAAGACGAGGATCTGCATGGAACATTTCCTGTCTAAAGGCTGTAGTATCCATTACGAACTTCAAATACCAATTTTGAAACAATTCCGGTAAATAATGTCGCTAAAATCATCAAAATACCGAATATCGGAGGGTACCGTTATGTGGGGGCTTTACGAAGACGTGTACCTACATGGGTAATTTTCTGTCTGAGGCTGTAGTATCCATTACGAACTTCAAATACAAATTTGAAACAATTCCGGTAAAGAATGTCGCTAAAATCATCAAAATACTGAATAATAGGGGGTACAGTTATATGGGGGCTATACGAAGACGTGGACCTACATAGCCCATTTTCAATACTAAAAGTCCTGCAGACATAATACAAATTTAGGTAAATTTTTATCAACTTACTTCATTTCGTTCGGAAGCTAGAGTGATTTCCACAGACGGACAGACGGACGGACATTGATAAATCGACATAGAATTTTATGCTGATCAAGAATGTACAGCGGTGGCCACAAATTTAAGACATGACATATATAAGATAATTCTTAAATCTTATTAAAAAAATAGGTCCATGTTACTTTTTTTAAGATCCTTGTAATGTAATGAAATAAATTTCACAAAGGTTTGTTACCTCCATTACGTTAGAAAATTTTTATTTACATTTTATACAGCTTAATACAAGTTTAGCCTGGCCACGAATTTAGGACATAGGCAAAAAAAAAAGAAAAATAAATTAAATTAAAAACTCAACTTAGTAAAGAAACTTTAGTATTTAGTTGGGAAGCCTTTATTTTGGATCACAGCTGCGCATCTCCTTGGTAAACTTTCAACTAATGCCATACAACGTTCCTTTGGAATCTCATACCAAGCCTTTTGGATTTCTTCCCATAAATCATTCAAATTTTTTGGTTTTACTGCACGTACATGTCTCTCAACATCATTCCACAAGTTCTCAATTGGATTGAGGTCTGGAGATTGAGCTGGCCACTTTAGAACATTGATATTGTTGTCACCTAAGCAACTCTTCACTAGGCGTGAAGTGTGCTTAGGGTCATTATCGTGCATAAATCTCCATATTAGAGGCATGTTTTCTTCAGCGAATGGCATCATTATGCTTGTCAATATGTTTTTGTAAATGTACAGATCCATTTTAGTGTTAATCTTGTGAATGGGTCCCACGCCATGCCAAGCAAATGCTGCCCACACCATAACATTCCCACCTCCATACTTAACCGTTTTAAGGGTATACTTTGGATGATGCTGTAGGTTTGGAGGACGCCATACGTATTGTTTTCCATCAGAACCAAATCTGCAAAACTTCGACTCGTCGCTCCCTTTGTGTGGTCTAAAATGTATATTTCGAGGTGTTACAAACGGAATGACTATCTTAATATACCCTCCATACTATGGTGGAAGGTATAAAAACCAGTAAAGAAAGGCCAAAATCTGGTTGTCCCGTCTTAACGATACCCTACACCACTTTGCATATATAGTAGAGCTACATATAACAAATAAACGCTTTTATGGGAAAATTATGAGACTTAAAGCAAATATGATAGCTTTTGAATGTGTATAATTCATTAAAATCCATTCTACTTAAGCTGATATTACGCTTTTTAGGCACAATAACCGTGAAATCGGGTGAAAATATCTATGGGAGCATATCCAAATCTGAACCGATCTCTATACAATTTAGCAAAGGTATTTCTATGCTGTATCTAATAGTTGGCACCAAATATCGTTGTTGTGGAGAGTATTTTACGGGTGTAAGGGAGTAAAATACTAATTCTGATGAAACATACGAATGGGACCTATAACTATATCTTAACCGATTTTCACCAAACTTGATACACTTTCTTCCATGCTAAATTCATTCGTATGTGCCACAAAAAAAACTGCAACAAAGGCAAACGCCATAATCTTTACAATCTTTACCACCACATAGTGGTAAGGGTATTATGCCTTTGTGCATTTGTTTGTAACATGAGAAGGAAGCGAGATAGACCCATAGTTACTTTTGAGGATCTCCATAGAATCACTTTGTAAGTTGATTTATGCATGTCAGTCCGTCTGTCCATGTATTCTTGTGAACACAATGCAGGTCGCATTTATTATCCGATTGAGATGAAATTTTCCAAACAACATTTGTTTGGCCCAAGGACGAACCCTATTGAAATTGGAGATAATCGGTAAAAATTTAGATGTAGCTCCCATATATATCTTTGTTCGATTTGCCTTTGGTGCACAACTTGTAATATCAGCCCGAATAGTATGACATTTTGCACATACAACCAAATTAGGCCTGTAATAAGTATGCCAAATTTGATCGAAATCAGTTCAGATATAGCTATAGCCCCCATATATATTATTCATCCGATTTGTTATTTTTGTCCTTCGCTGCCGTAATATGCACTCTGTAACAACAATATTTGGAGAAATATAGCAAATACAGCTCAGAAATACATTTGCTAAATTTTATCGAGATCGGTTCAGATTTGGATATATCTCCCATATATAACTTCGTCCGATTTACTTTTCATTGTGCACCAAACGTCTTATATTTGTCCAAATTGGATGGAATTTGGCACTTACGACCGAATAGAATCTAGAAGCTAGTATGCCAAATTTGGTGAAGATCGGTTCAGATATAGCTATAGCTCCCATATATATTTTTCATCTGATTTGTTGTATTTGTTACCCACAGCCATAATATGCACTCCGTAACAACGATATGCGGTATTTTGGCCCATTACCGGCGAAGTGCTTGCTTGAGGTGATCGACACATTGGTATTTCTTAGTGCCAACCTTACATTCCAAAATACTCCAGACACAATAGTCCAAAGGATTGGTATCCGGAGATTTTGGTGGCCATTGTGCGCTGGAAAGCGCGAGAGCGACAATCGGCTGTTATGGCGGCCCACACCATCACGATGGTCTGCGCTTGAGTTCTGGTGGCCAACCGAAGGTGCACATTTTCAGCTGACCTCTTTAGCAAGTAAACACGATTATTTACGTACTTTGTTATGGGGCCCGTACGAATACCACGGCCACTTCGTCGCCGGTTTCGATCAAATCGCTTCTTTACTTTTCGAACCATTTCTACTGATGTTACTGTTTTCTTCCGTCCACTACGCTACCAGTGTTACGGTAACGAGCGATGGTACGAGACACAAAAGATTTATTCACATTTAAATGCTGGAGTGCTCTGACGATAGTCACATGTGGTGTTCCAGCCAAATATAAAGAAATCACACTATCACGCTTGGATTCTATCACGAATAACTTTTTCTCTTGAAAATTGTATATTATACTTTGTGGGGTTTAAAATGACAATTTCAAGGAGTTAAAACAGAATTTGGAAATAGCTCCCATATATATTTCCGTCCGATTTAAATTTTATTCTACGTCATATGTATAATATTCATCCAAATCGAATGTATTTTTGCACATCTGATCGAATTAGTATAGTATGCCCCGCACGACTTTGAGTCTTCTTTACTGTATTTTTATACCCTCCACCATACATAGTATGGAGGGTATATTCAGTTCGTCATTCCGTTTGTAACTCATCGAAAAAATAATTTTAGACGTAACAAAGTACGTATATTCCTGATCAGCATAAGACGATTTGGCCCTGTCCGTTCGTCCGTCTGTTGTAATCTCACTAGAGT